CCGCAGCACCAGGAGCACCACTACGAAGACTGCAGCGCCGCGTGTACCACTCGCGGATCACCTGAATGGGGGGGAGCTCCTGGGTAGGAGGGGAAGTACCGGGACGAGCTCCAGAAGCACCTCTCCGGAGGCGGCAGTACTCGAGGTACCTCTCCTGCAGCTGCTGGGAGGAGAGGGCTCCTCCAGGTGGAGCACGCTCAGGCTCAGCACCCCCAGACTCAGCACCCCCAGACTCAGCACCCCCAGACTCAGCACGTCCAGACTCAGCACCCCCAGGCTCAGTACCTCCAGGCTCCGCACCTCCAGGCTCCGCACCTCCAGGCTCCGCACCTCCAGGCTCAGCACCCCCAGGCTCAGCACCTCCAGGCTCAGCACCCCCAGGCTCCGCACCCTCAGACGCAGCACTCCCAGGCTCAGCACCCCCAGACGCAGGACGCGAGTCAACAGCTACCTCGACAGGCTCACCCGGGTCTACCTGGGACACACCTGAGGGAGCGGCACCCTGAGGGGGGAGGGGGTCTGGTACCTCAGCACCTGGAGCGAGGAAGAGAGGCGGGGGGGGGAGCGGGGCAGTGCGGTAGGGGAAGAGGCGGTAGAAGGGGACGGACTCGTCAAAAGTGACGTCCTGAGAGGCCAGAACCCGGCGCGAGGTGACGTGGTAAAACTGCCATCCAGGCGCGTCGGGAACAAAGCCAAGAAAGACACAGGGAACAGCGCGACGCGAGAGCTTGTCCGCGGACGTGTCGCGGACAAAAGCTCGAGATCCCCAGACCCGGAAACGCGACGCATCGCCAACCTCTCCCGTCCACCGTAGAGTCGGGGAAGTCTCCGGCAAGGAGACACGGGGCCAGAGGTTGAGCTGATGCGCTGCGTACCGGACCGCAAACGGCCACAGAAAGTGGGGAGCAGCCGCATGGGTCAGGGAGGTACGAGCGACCTCCATGACCAAGCCAATGCGGCGCTCAGCGACCCCATTCTGCTGTGGAGAGGCCGGAAGCGTGAACGACTGCTCAATGCCGTGCTCAGCACAGTAGGCTGCCAAGAGGTCGGAGGCGAACTCACCACCTCTGTCAGAGTGCAAGCGCAGGACAGGAAAGTCCGAGTGAAAGCGCTTGCCTAGCTGGAGACGGGCTCGGCTGATCCAGGGGATCAAAACACCAGGGACGTCACCCTTGGCGCGCAAGGGGAAGACCGTGGTGTAGCGCGAGTAGTCGTCAACAACTATCAGGAAGTACCTCTCCTGACCCTGACCACGGACGCGGGCTGGGCCCCACACGTCCATGTGGAGCGTCTGCAAGGGAGCAGTCGTCGGGGAAAAGGAGGAGGAGTGAGGAGCGGCGCGCTGCCGCCCCTCGACACAGGGAATGCAGTCAGGAGCAGGGGAGTCGGGAAGGGGAGGGAGCACCCTGGGAAGACCAGCAACAAGGTCCCGTTTGTGCATGGCCCGAAGGCGCTGCACAGACGGGTGACCAAGGCGGTGGTGCCAAAGGACAGTCTCATGCGCCAGAGAGCGACATGAGCAGGGGGCGGACAGCTGACCTGACGCAGACGCAGACGCAGACGCAGCTACCTGAGGGGACTCAGTGGTCAGTGTGTACAGGTCCGACCCCGGCTCCCGAGTGAAAGTAGCCAGGTGGCGGCCCGTCCGAGCACACGTGCAATGTGTCACACGCTCGTAGGCGGGGGTGAACTGGTGAACACCCCCGTCCTGCAGAGCACAGCCCGCCACCAAGTTCGTAGAGAACGAGGGGAGGTAGAGACCTGAGAGCGTGCCGGACGGAACCGCTGGACACGGAAGTGTAGTGGAGGAGGTCGCAATGACCGGACCCCCTGAGGGGTCAGCAAGAGAGACAGCAACCGGCCGAGCTAGTGGCTCAAGGACAGTGCGGTCACGAAAGAAAGAGCGAGAAGCACCTGAGTCCAGTGTGAAGGTGTGCAGTGCTGCAGTCGACTCAGTACCAGGGGGCACAGACGCACTAGCACCTAGGGCAGCTGCTGCAGCAGGACCTGTGGGAGCAGACACACTAGCACCTAGAGCAGCAGTGGGGCTGGCCTGAATGCCCGGGTCGGGCGGAACACGCAAGTACTGAGCACCCTCTCCACTAATAGACATTGCATACATGGCAGTGAGAATAGCATCAAAGTCTAGAGCCCAGATATCAACACCCCTCTTTTCCAGATCAGCCCAGCGCGGCAGCTCAGTGGCGTCAGGAAACTGGGTGCGCCACGCGTCGTTGAGGCGCGCGAAGCAGCGCTGCGTCTGGTGCGCCCTCCCACACGTCTGGCCAGTGCGGTCGCCTGTGCGAATAACGTACGTGCAGGTAAAGCCGCGCTGCGCATACCACTCACGGGCGGCCTGAAGCGTCGGGGCAGGCTGCTGACTCTGGCCTCCGCCCGTGCCTCCACGACCACCACCTCCTCCGCCTCCGCCCCGGCCACCTCCACCCCTGCCGCTGCCACGACCACCTCCGCCTCCGCCGCCGCCTCCGCCCCTGCCACCACTCCCACCGCTGCTGTCACCTCCCCCACTGCCGCCACTAGCCTCCCCAGTCGCGCCTCCACCGCCACCACCTCCACCCCCGCCTCCTCCGCCGCCACCCCCACCCCTGCCCCCCTTGCTCCTGCGGCGCCCGCCCGAAGCAGACGCAGTCCCGACCTTCTCAGCACCAAGGAGGTCGACAGCAGCAGCAGAGGCGACAGAGGGGAGGAGGGGGGAAGGGGAACACCCCTCAAAGAAGGGGCCGCGAGGGTCGCCACGAGAGGTGCCTACAGCGACGATACTGGCCTCAGCTGCAAGCAGTTCCTTCTCGAGGAGGGCTACGGTGAGCTCGGTGGGGGAGCGAGAGAGGAAGTGGTCCCTGACTGCGCGCAGAGAGTCAGGGAGGCGAGTGACGATGTGGTAGAGAGTGATCCAGAGCGGGGGGGGGTTGCTAGCGAGGAACTCGTCAGGCATGGCAGCGCGAAAGCGGGCCTCACTAGTCTTAAGGTGGGTGATGAGGTCTGCGACAGTGTGAAAGGAGGCCAGGTCGGGGAACAGGTAGGGGAGAGTGAGGCGGCCTAGCGTGGCAGAAGCGGGTGAGGAGTAGCGGGCAACGACAGCGGTGTACAGTTCCTTAGCAGTCTTGCACTGGCCGAAGTGCTCGCGCTCATCTAGCGGCAGGGAGTTGCGTATGGCGAAGCGAGCGTGCGCGTCACGGGTCTGCCACTGTGAGCGCTCAGTGGGGGGAGCAGTAGTAAGAGGGGCAGTAGCGTGGCCGAGAGCATGGTCGTACAGAGAAATATCCTCCTTGGCCGTGAGCTGTAGGAACAGGTGCAGGTCATCGAGCCAGGTTTCGAACTTCACTGGACGGCCCTCGGCGTCGAAAGCTAGAACGGGAGGGCTAGCCATAGCGATAGTAGCAGTAGCAGCAGTAGTAGACAGAGTAGGGCCGCTGTAGCTGTAAAGACGCACTAGCAGGAGTCGCAGGGGCGCACGGGCTGCGGTGGTAGGCCGGCAGTAGCGGCGTGCGGTGGCGGCTGCAGGTGCGGACAGTCAGTAGCGGCGGGCCGGTATCGTAGGCGTGCGGCGGCAGCTGCGGGTGCGCACGGGCGGCAGCGGCGGGCCGGCAGGCGAGGGCGTGCGGCGGCAGCTGCGGGTGCGCACGGGCGGCAGCGGCGGGCCGGCAGCGGGTGCGTGCGGCGGCGGCTGCGGGTGCGCACGAGCGGCAGCGGCGGGCCGGCAGCAGGCTGCGTGCGGGCCGCGTAAGTAGCGCGCGGGCCGGCAGCGGGTAGCGGGCGGTTCGCGGGCGGCGTGCAGGCCGCGCGGGCGGTTCGCGGGCGGTTCGCGGGCGGTTCGCGGGCGGCGCGCAGGCCGCGCGGGCGGTTCGCGGGCGGTTCGCGGGCGGCGCGCAGGCCGCGCGGGCGGTTCGCGGGCGGTTCGCGGGCGGTTCGCGGGCGGCGCGCAGGCCGCGCGGGCAGTTCGCGGGCGGTTCGCTAGAGGGCCAACGGGGCCGGTAGGTGCGATCGCAATCGACGGGGCCAGCGGGGCCGGGAAAAAAAAGGTAACGCTCGCGAGGGCGCTACGGGGGAGACGCTAAGAACGCGCTCCGGTAGGTAGGTAGGTAGGTAGGTAGGTATCGTACGGTGGGCCCTAAGAACAGTCCTAGCGAAGGACCTGCTCTGATACCATGTCAGAATCACTGAGCAGGAATGAATGAACTAGCACAGAGTTTGGTACAAGTAGGAAACCCTAACTTTGTGTACCCCCTAAGGTGTAACCCACTACAGCCTACACAATATAAACATACAATGTTTGACAATTCAATGGTTCATTCATTTGATACCGAGCTAGACTAAGGGGATTTCGGGAGAACATGCTCTGACGGCGAATCTGCAATGTCAGACGCGAATCTTGTGTCAGGGGGCGAATCTTGTGGTGATTGGGCGAATCGTGTGGTGATTGGGCGAATCTTGTGTCAGGGCGAATCTTGTGGTGTGAAAGGGCGTGTCTGCAATGTCAGACGCGAAGTTTTGGTGATTGGGCGAAATTGTTGTGCTCTGACGGCGCAACTCTGTGGTGTCAGAGAGATTTTGCTATGATTGGGCGAAATTTTGTGCTGTAAGGCGCGGATTTGCTGTGTCAAGGCGATTTTGCGTTGACAGTGCGAATCTGCTGTGACATGTGAAGTCAGAATCACCAGTCAAGAACGCGTTTGTACTCTGAATGATCAGAGTTCACTCCTGGAAAACTCTGAAATTTCAGAGTTAGCCTTAGCATTTTTCTGAAAATTACAGAGTTGGGGCCCTAAAGTCTCTGATTTCAACAGAGTTCACTTAAAAAAAAAATCTGAATTCTCATAGTTTTTCATGCAAATCAGAGAAAAAAGTCTGACTTCTGTGGACCTATCTACAGCATCTAACTACCCCTCGATCTATACAGGTGGCTTGTTGAACAACTACAAGTCGAGTTCACAAGAGGCCACGAATATAGTGACAGCCATACGTGCGAGGTCATTCGCCACATGAAACGGCATCTCAATGCTTTGGACGTCGAAGTTGGATCGGTAAGTTTCATTCGGTTTGGTTGTTTAAGCTAATCCCCGATGTTCCTGTTGTATAACGCAGATCAACAAGGTGCAGGGCCGTTACGAGGTTGGATCGGGTCTTCAAGTGATTCACTTGTTCAGCAAGCTATTGGACAAATGGGGGGACCTCTTGGCGCTGCAGAACAAGGACAACATGATCAACTTGGGCGGTGGTAAAAATAAGGCGAACGAAGTCGGATGTATGCTCGTCAGCGGCTGACGTGCCTTCTTCGACCAGTTCGAAGACGATGCTCTTGCGGAAGGGAATGAGCCGACCGACCAGGTGGAGACGGTGGAGGATTGGGTCGAAGATGTGGAGGCGAACCAGGACCGGAGAAGTAGGAGGACCGAGGGGATGACGGCTGCGTCTGTGCAGAGAAGTTCACGTGAAGACGAGAGGCGGAGAGAGGCTACCGCAGCAGTAAAAGAAGCCGCACCAAACTACACTCTCGTATCATATTCACGGAGATCCCGTGTAGATGGTCCGGGTGCATGGTCGGCTCGAGTTGATGAACGGGCGAGGAATGAAGGCCGACAGCTCCGGTTTTCAGACCGAGTTAGGAGGCCTGCTCGTCGTGAGACGGAGACGCAACGAGACAGGGTGGGGATGCATACGAAGTTGGCGGATGTGGCAGAGGAAGGCGAGGAGGGGGTGGAGGATCCGCAGCACCCAACCGAGGAGGACACGGGATACGATAAAATTCGCCTGCCAAGAGTAAAGCGGAAGGCGGCCGAAGATGCACGGAGAATGGACTTCGACGAACCTGAGGCCTCACAACAGGCTCAACGGAGGGCGGATGGCGAGGCGGATAAGAAGCGACTGAAAGAGGTGCATGAAAGCGCAATGGCAGAATCTAGGATGAAAGCGAATGCAGAGACGCCGAAACTCGCGGACGCGGAGGTGCAGAAAAGAGCGGAGGCAGAGGCGCAGAGGATCGCGGCGGCGGAGACGAAAAGGAAGGGCGCTGCAGAGGCATTGAAGAACACGGATGCGACTTCGGGGAAGGCGAGGGGATTGGCGCAAAAACTCGCAGATGCGGAGGCGCAGAAGCTGGCGGAAGCAGAGGCGCATGATAAGGCGGAGTCACGGACGCAATAAGTCGCACCTGAAGGGGTGCAGCAGAAGACGGAGGCAAAGGCGCAGAAGCTCGAAGAGGCAGTGGCGCGGAAGAAGGCTGAAGAAGAGGCTCGGCAGACGGGGGATGCAGAGGAGCGGCAGAAGGCAGATGCAGAGGCGCGGCAGAAGGCGGAGGCAGATGCGCGGCAGAAGGCGGATGCAGAGGTGCGGCAGAAGGCGGAGGTAGAGGCGCAGAAGAAGGCGGAGGCAGAGACGCAGAGGAAGGCGGAAGCAGAGGCGTCGAAAGATGCGGAGGCAGAGGCGTAGCAGAGGGCGGAGGCAGAGACGCAGAAGAAGGCGGATGCAGAGGCGCGGCAGAAGGCGGATGAAGAGGCGCGTCAGAAGGCGAAGGCAGAGGCACAGCAGAAAACGGAGGCAGAGACTCAGAAGAAGGCGGATGCAGAGGCGCAGCAGAAGGCGGACGCAGAGGCACAGCAGAAGGCGGAGGCAGATGCGTAGTAGAAGGCGGACGCAGAGGCACAGCAAAAGGCGGAGGCAGAGGCGCAGCAGAAGGCGGAGGCAGAGGCGCAGAAGAAGGCGGATGCAGAGGCGCAGCAGAAGGCGGACGCAGAGGCACAGCAGAAGGCGGAGGCAGATGCGCAGCAGAAGGCAGACGCAGAGGCACAGCAGAAGGCGAAGGCAGATGCGCAGCAGAAAGCGGAGGCAGAGGCGCAGAAGAAGGCGGGCGCAGAGAGGCAGCAGAAGGCGGAGGCAGAGGCACATCGGAAGGCGGTGGCAGAGGCGCAGAAGAGGGCGGATGCAGAAGCGCAGATGAAGGCGGAAGCAGAGGCGCAGGCATATGCAGACCGAGAGATGCAGATTACTGCAGAGGCAGAGGAGCATAATACAATGGAGGCAGAGGAAAGGGAGGCGGAGGAAGATGCGATACATCCATCTGTACGGATGTACCTGGGAGGACCTTCGAGGCAGGGACCAAAAATTGTCGATGAGAGGGCATGGAGAGTGGCAGAAAATGGGGAGCCGAGGGATACGGCGGATCTTACAAGGCAGAGGCGAGCCGAGCGAATGCAGGATCTTCGTCGGGGAGCTGGGGATGAGGGGGAGCAAGAGGCGTGGGTGGAGGTAGAGTGGATCAAGGCAGAGGCGGCAATACGCCGGATGCTGCGGCACACAAGTACAGTCCTGGTTGAACAAGGTGACGGGTTCGTCGAGGGTGAAAGCTGGGACATAAGCCCTGCTAAGGTCACGCGTCGTCTGACCCTGATAGGCCGAAACACAAGCGAGCACAAGCGAGCTACAGCTGTCCTCATCCCAACTCGCTTAACGCGTGTACAAATTAACTTTTGACAGCTTCCGACGTCGTAGGCTCGACGTCAATATACGCCGATTGACGTCGAATGCTGCACTTGGAACACATTGGTGGCGACGAACGTGCCCAAAAAACTGTACTGGGCATAGAAGAGATTAACAAAGGACAAATGCCGACCATTTTAATTGAACAATTGAGTCGGGTCAATGTTACAAAATTGAAAGGTTATTTCGGGCATTTTAGTGGACATTATTCATGTGTCGCATAGTGGTGGAAACAAAAAAACATTGCAAATTTTACAAAGCATATATTTTTTTTGTATGGTCGTGTAATCATTGTTAAAGACTGTTTTCTCGTCCGCAGTCACTGTGCAAATTTGTACAGAACTGAATTGTTATCGCCAGCAGTTTTTTATGCGTACCTTAAACACTGCAAAGCACCGCTGAGTCCACCGACCTACCTCAACGTTGCTCATCATCGAGCTAACTGCAACACTTTGAACATGCTTTAAGCGCGAGCTTTGTCGTGGGCAGATAATCGTGACGGAAGGAAGCTAGGAGAAAAAAAAAGCGTACTGAAGTGAAAAAAAAAATGTAAGGGCGCGAACAATTGCTGCACTCCTACTCTCGGTATGTTTTAGCGGCAGCGAAAACGGACAACACGAGCAGGCGCTACGATCACTCGTGCTTCCCCTAGTCTAGCTCTAACTTGTTTAGAGTGATTCTTCGCATGCTGCTGTTAGAATCTAGAAGCAGGAATGAATGCATTGAATGAGAGTTGGGTACAAGTATCTAACCCTAAAGGGGTTGTACCCCATATTGGCTACCCCACTACAGCCTACACAAGTATAACATGCATATAGTTTGACAGGTGCGGTGAGCGTGGACGGCCCCGCGAGATACCTTCACAGATTAGCCGACTAACTACTTACCTGTGTCGTTGTTAGGCCTGCAGCCCATGCAGACCATGATGCCTACCCCGGTGGAACCTGGAGCGGGACAGGATGCGTTGGAGGCACGAGAGGCTTATGCTAGGATACGTCATTTGGCTGGCGAGTTCGGGATGGTCCCCTTAGAGGTGCTCCTCCTAGGCACTCGTGCAAAGTGGGCGCACAACCATCCTTCCCGAATTGAAGTGGATGACGGGTCCGCCTCTCCCCGACCGGCACGCAACGAAGGCGGCATCGACGAGTAGGTCAACGACGGTGACCAGGTACGCAGTGCAGGAGGCACGAGGGTGGCGAGAGGAGTGATCAGGGCCGCTGGCGACGAAGTCGGCAAAATGGAGGGGCGAGAGCAGCGGTCGCTGGTGGCTACGAGTAGCTCGCTCGATGACGTCGACAAACAAAGTCGCTCTTCTCAACGAAGCAGTGTGAGGCCGACGGCGGCGACCTACGTATCGGCTAGCGAAATCGCGCTGACTAACGGCTACTTCAAAATTTTGCTGGACAAGATAGCCATGCCCATGCTGCTAGAAGGTCGATGTGACCTCATCACGTGGAGGGAGTCAATCGAGCCCCAGTTTGATATCACCGGGCTGAAGTGCTTTGCCGACGGCGACGTGGTGATGCTGGATGAGACCGATGTCGAGCTCCATATGGAATTTTCCACCGCTCGTCTGTTGACCTTCATGATTATCTCACGGTGCTGCTCGCTGATGGTGCTGGCCGTCTTGAAGCTTTGTTGACTTTGACTTGACGCCAGCCACCAGGCGTAGTGGTTCATCTTGTCGACCTACCAGCTGATTGACGACCTCTACGTAAGCCAGCCGGAGTAGCGGTTGACTCACCTCGGGATGAGCGAGCTAGAGTTGGCGACAAGCTATTACAACCGCGCTCGACGAATCATGACCGACATGCGGATAATTGGCGTCGACTACTCGAAGGCGTGCTACATCACGCACGTCGTCAAGGGACTCCTGAACATCTACAACTTGATGCGTCAAATGCTGGCGATGCACAGCGCGCGTGAGTCGCTCAAAACGAGCACGCTCACCAAACACATCAACAAGGTTGAGGCCATGCGGGAGGCCAAGCTACCCACGGAGCTCCTTTTTCAAGCAAACTATGTCACCTCCACGAAGCTGAGTCTTCAGCAGGTGCAGCGTGGGAAGTCGGACGGAGGTGGTAGCGGAGGTCAGAAGTCAGCGAAGTACGCCGATCGAACGAAGTCTGCTCGGGACAGCGGTCGAGGTGGTGTCGGTCAACGACACGAGTGTTGGATCTGCGGTAGTTCCAACCACCTCTTATTCGATTGCTCCGACCGCGAGGACTCCGACGATGACGACCATAAGGGGGGCCGGCGGGAGGTCCGCTGTCGGTCGTCAACGTAGAGAAAATAAGCCGTGCCAGAAGAAGCAGACGTCGAAGAAGACGTCGTCGAGCACGGACGCCGACTCCTCTAGCACCAAGGGAGGAGGCAATAGGGAGGCGTCGTGTTCGATGGTCAGCATCGTCGAGCCGACGGTCTCACTGGCGCCGGAGGCCGGCGAAAACTTCAAGGCGGTTGCGGTCGCCGTGCAGGTGAACCGGACGGTGGTACTGCTTGACAGTGGCTGCTCCCACCGCTTGATAGGGACGAAGGAGGCCTTCGTCGACATGCCGCCATCCGAGCGGTGACGTGCAGCATGTGCATGGCTTCAACGGGGCAATACAGACCGTCAAGGGGCATGACACCGTCGCTCTGCAAGGGAGGTCGAGAAGCAGGTTCTCGTTCCCGATGTGCTCAACGTTCCGAGCATGCAGGCGAACTTGTTGTTAGCCGGCCAGCTGAAGGATAGCGGCGTGAAGCTGCAGGATGTCCGCAACGGATGCTACTCGTCTTGGCGACGGGGAATATGCTTGGTCGGGTGCGCCATACCGGCCGGGTCCTCTGCACTGATCTTCGCCCCTGCTCAAGGAAGCCGATACCGGCGTCGACAGATGTGGTGGCTTTGCGGACGATCGCCTCTTCTAGTAAGTTAATGCCAGACATGTGGCGCGCGAGGCTTACTTACATCGATGTCGACACGATCAAGAGCTCAGAGAAGCATGAAGTCAAGCCGTCACGCCTGGACCTCAAGCCGTCAACCAGTGCTAACCTGTCGTGTGACTCCTGTGTCGGCGAAAAATTGGCACCTTACCTCAACAAAGGCTCGGACGCCTAGGAAGCCCTATTACATCGACTTGTGTGGGCCGTTCTGGGTGGCCGCCAAGGATGGCAGCTTGTACTTCCTGCTGCTGAAGGACAGAAAGACACGCTATGTGTGGGTGAAGTTGGTCGCCAAGAAGAGCGACGTGCTGCGGGTGTTCGAGAATTGGCTTAGCGTTATGGAGCGACAAACTAAGAAGTCGGTAATGATGCTCCGCTCTGACCGTGGAGGTCAGTTCCCGTGACAGGAGTTCACCAGCTTCGTCGGCGAAAAGAGGATTGTCCACGATTTGACATGCCCGTACACCCCGCAGCACAACGACATGCCTGATTAAAAGATGCGCACAGTCGTTGAGGCCGTGCGAACAATGCTGTTGCACATGGGCGTGCAACACCAATGGTGGTCCTGGTGGCACGTGTGCGGCTGCATGGTGCAGTTCATGGTCCCCGAGCAATAGCGCGATGAGAAATTGGCGTTGAAGGCCAGGTGGGGCCTATATCTTAGTGTGTTGTCGGAGAGCGAGCGCTGGGAGGTCCTCGACCTCACTGACAACAAAGTTGTCACCACGGCGGAGGCGATCTTCTAAGAAACATTGTCGCTGGAAGGAGTACTACGGGCCTGCGTCGACGAGGACCTTTCTACAGCCTCAAGAGGCTGGCGAGCCCGACAACGACGATGTCGCGGACGTCCCTCCTCCTTCTGCCCCCGCTGTCCCATTCCCCACTGTTACTTCCCCTCTACCCTTTGTCACCGATCTGCTGGAATCGACGTCACCGTTGGCCACCAGCGCTGAGGGGAGACTTTCAAAGCCGCCTGCGGCGCCGGCCAGTGGCATCGCCAGTGGCCGACGTGGCAAGGTGCATCTTGGTAACCAAGTGCAGAAGCCGCCGACGATAGGAGAGCAGCGAACAGTGAAGCCGACAGGGGAGCTGACGATAAAGGACAAGTCGGCAAGGAGTCAATCTTGGTGCAGCAGACCGATGTTGACGAAGTTGTTGTCGACGATGAAGGGGAGCTGTCGGCAGGGGAGGCGTCCGCCGATAGCAATGTGGAGGTCCCTATCGACAAGCCTGGGCCGCGACACTAACCCGCACGAGAAAGGCTTCTGAGCGGCTGAGCTACCATGCCTGCCTACCGCCAGGCGCCTTCACGATGATGCTCGACTACGCGCGGGCCGATGCCGACCTACCTGAGCTCAACCCCAACGTGCATTCTGACTTATAGAAGCGCTGGGACATCGCCAACATGACGGTGAAGGAGGCGTTGGCGAGCTGGAAGGGCAAGAAGGTGAAGGCCGCCATGGAAGAGGACTCCGTAGCCTCATCGCCAAGGGCATGTGAGAGCTGGTCAAGCGCTCACACGGTGTCAATATCGTG